GACTACTATAAGTTAAAATCTAAAAATTAACTTTCTGTCAATTACAGTATAGTTGACTAATTCTCTTAATAGTCGACTAATCTGTGTTTAATTTAAAATCCAGAGTTCTGTCAATTACAGTGTAGTCGACTAATTTTCTTAGTAGTCGACTACAAACTCAGATTTTTCCAAACTTAGTTCCTCAGCATATTGGATTTAAACCCTTTATACCCTACACCCAATACCCGTTTCACTTAAGTAAAATTCATCTCAACCATTGATTCTAATCCCATTAATCCTAGCCACATATTTAAGAGCAAATCTTCACCATTCATTTGTTCTTAATTTAATCCTAACCATACAAATTACAATTTTTATTCTAAAGAAAAATATAAAACACAAAACCCATCTTCTTCTTCTCATAACTGATCTCTCTTCTTCCCCTCTTCAGAACCCATTGAATCCAAGTTAGGGCATCATCAGATTTTCGTTTTTCTTCTCAAAATCTTTATCAAATACTTTGGTTTCTTCAGTCTGACAGTCTCTGTAGTCAACTACATCCAGTAATAGTCGACTAATCCAAGGGTTTCATCTGTTTTTGGTAATTTCTCAACTTGATCTTTCTTATCTTTTGGTATATTTCTGATTTATCATGTCTAGAGCTAAGAAAGCTAAGCAAGTTCATACTAATGTTAACGATAAAATCATCATATATTTAAAATGTCCTGATTTACTTGAAGAATTTAACAAAATATCCACATTTAAAGTTCTTTCAGGACGATTTGTGAAATTTGATTATTTTATCCCATGAAATTTTGGATCATATTTTGAAAATGTGTGGTTGCTTGAATTATTCTTTGCTGAAAATATAAAACCCACATATCCTTTTCTGGTTCAATTGTTCTATATTAATATAAAACGTATAGGAACTATTAGTGGAACTGAAAAGCTTAGAACTCTTGTCAAAAGAGTAGAAATTGACTTGACTTCTAAGTCATTTGAAATTTTTTTTAACATTCCTTTCCGAGGAGTCTCTCTTAGGTCAATCATAATGAATGATTCAGAATTGCTATCTAATCATATTTTTCTTCCTGGTTATAGTAAACCATTGAATAATTCAAATAAGCTACATCCAATTACTTGTTTCATTGCCCGAATCTTAGCTTATAACATGTTTCCAAAAACTAAAAGTTTCCATTTTATTTCCCTAGACTTAGCAAAAGCATTATATGCTTTAATATGGAATATCCAAGTTAATTGGGCTGAAGTTTATTTTGATAATCTTCTGACAATACCAAAAGGATTTCTTCCTTATGGTGCTTTTTTAACGAAATTTTTTGATAAATTTCATGTTGATATTGAGTCTGAAAATTCTGTCGTTCGTTCCATTGAATTCTTTGATTCTAATGCCCTAACTAAGATGAAATTAACAACTTTGAAATTCACCAAGATGAACATCAACATCAACCTGAAACAGAACATCAACCCCAATCACAAAACACTGATGACGTTGGACCCTCCTCTCATATTCCACCACCAATACCACAAATGCATGAATCCTCTTGTTTCTCAGATGCACAATACAATACAATGTCTGCTAGAATACTAGATTTGGAAGTGGGTCAAAAAGCCTTGTTTGATCAAAATGTGCTCATGCTAAAAAATCAAGAGGGTTTAACCAACAAATTTGATATTCTGGAGATGAAGTTTGACACAATGAATATGAAGTTTGATACCTTGGATATGAAGCTAAGTGCTTTCTTTCAAGGTCATCAACCACCTCCAGCACCTTAGAAGACTACGCATGCATCATTTAGATTTGGATAATTTTATGTTTAGTATTCAAACAATGGTAATATGTGTTATGTTGGTTGTTTGAGTTTGAATGTCACAAACTATGCCGTAGTTATTTGTTTTTAAGACATATGTAATATGTGTTGTGTTGCTACTATATTGCTTTAACTTTAGTATGTTTTATGGGATTGAATTTTATGTTGCGTTTATAATGATTGAAAAGTTAATTCATGTGCTATATATATATTTTCAACAGATTATGGTGATGAACATTGTGGAACTTTTGGTTTTTATGGAAAGTCTTTGCCTACCTATTTGGATTGGTGAAGTTATGGACTATGTTCATAATCTGGATGATCTGTTTAAAGTGCTAGCTCATGAAGGAAATTATGATATGTTTAGGATAGTTATATATAGTTCTTTATGCTAATGACAAAGGGGGAGAATATTTTTAGAATTTATGTTTTATAGACTCAACAATATGAATTGTAGACTCTAATGTGTGTGCTTTTATGCAGGGGGAGTAAGTATATTTGTTTATCAAAATTTTTATTTTTTAAATATACTTACATATGAATAAATTGTTTGTCATCATTAAAAAGGGGAAGAATGTTGGATATCATGTCCACATGATATAATTTTGATGATAACAATTTATTCATATTGAGAATCACTATGTGTGTTATACATTTGCACTAACATTTAATTACAGCTTTCAACATCAAGGCATTATGAAGTAAAGAAGATGAAGAACAAATACATCAATGTAATTTTTACAATTATCTTTACTTAGAATTTTTGTACAAGCCTTGATCACTCACACACACACACATAGAAATTAGAACACACTAACACAGGCTTAGTGTGTTTGTTAACAATAGAAATCCCCTATGTTAACCATTAGAGTTTTTAGTTTATCATTAAATCTACAAATAGTTCATACATTACATTTTTACTCTTTAATAGTCGACTAATAAGAATAATAATCGACCATTGTAGTCTAAGTTCAAGATATAAGTTTCTGTAAAACTACAGAGTAGTCGACTACTCCGTTTTAAATTTTGATTTACAGAACTTTAGTTTTACAGAGTAGTCGACTACAAGTAAATATAGTCGACTACTGAGCTTTGAAAATTATTTTCCAGAACGTTTATTTTACAGTAGAGTCGACTAATAACAATTATAGTCGACTACTGATATTTGTTTTTTGTTTTCTAGACTTTCTGTAATACAGAGTAGTCGACTACTAAGAAGAATAGTCGACTACTAAGTTTCAGTTTTTAAATTCTAGACTTTCTGTATTACAGAGTAGTCGACTACTATGTATTATAGTCGACTACTAATGTAGTTTTTCTGAACGTTAATGTTTGAATTATTGACAGTTTATAGCCGTTTTTAAACGTTTTTAAAGTTTAAAAACTTATCTTTTCAAGGGCTATAAGAAGGTTATATGTTCAGAAAAATGAGACATTATCATATACCTATAAGCTTCATTCTTTGTGCATTTTTTCAAAAGTCAAAAATTTCAGATTTCAGTAAGTTTTGAGAAAAAGATCTTTACTGAAATTGCTTTTGATCATCATTCAAAATACATATTATTTAGGCAAATTCCAGTGGTGAAAAGTATTCCTAAGCCACTGCTACACAACACTTTAAATCAAGGCTTATAGGAATTAAGTTGTTTAATTCAAGGAAGGTTCTCTCGGTTTGAGAGAGGCTGATCTCTTGGTCTAGAGATCAGTGTGCAATTGGCAAGAGTCTGTCAATTGGTGTTGTAATTTGTAGGGACTTGTAAATTGGTCAGGTTTGATTTTAATTTTGTACTTGATTCAAAATTATAGTGGAAATCTTAAGCGGGATTTACTTGGGGACTGGATGTATACCAGATTAGTGGAACCAGTATAAAAACTCTTGTTTGTGATTGTGATTTTCTGAGATTGTTGACATTCTTTCTTTACAATTTATAATCTACTTTTCATAAATTTTTAAAAAGAATACTATTCACCCCCTCTAGTGTTTTAGTGTATCTATTTCAGATCCAACAATGTGTATACTTGGTATCAAGCATAATTTTTTGTGCTTGATAGTGAGGTGTCCTATTCCCATCCACTCACTCAAATTGGGGCCCACATTCACATGAGTTGGGGAGTGGTTGAGAATTAAAATGAGTGGATGGGAATATGACATCTCACTACCAAGCACAAAATTTGTACTTGGTACTGAATATACTCATTTCTCTCACTACCAAGCACAAAATATGGGTGAAGTGTTCCTAAGGTGACGCATTAGATAATCATCTAAGGACGCGGTCTAAAATTACACGATTAAGCTACATTGTGGATAATCCTCTCAGTGGAACTTGATCTATATATTCTAAAATCCCAACACACTAAGTTTGGGGTGAACACGTCGTCGTTTGACCTTTCATCCACTCGTATCAATTTTAACGGTTTCGAATGAATAGAACTTTTCACATGGCTCGACGGAGGGTCAAATGACGATGGGTTCACCCAAACTTGGTGTATTGGGGTTTTAGAATATGTAGATCAAGTTCAACGGAACGGATTATCTACAATGTAGCTCAATCATGTGATTTTAGGCGGCGTCCATAGATCATTATCTAAGACGTTACCTTAGGAACACTTTTCCCTTATATATATTAAAGATACAAATGAATAGGATATATAAGAGAAGGAGATTTTATTAATATATATGAGATACAAATGGATAGGAGATATCAGAGAAGGAGATTTTATTAATATATATGAGATACAAATGGATAGGAGATATCAGAGGAGGAGATTTTATTAGGCACCAGTCGTTCGGACATAACCACTTTTGGGCATCTAATATCCGATATCCGAAAAAGGCCTCAAAATCTATCCTTTTTTGGGACAAACCGACACCGAAACATAGGTAACGGAAACAGTAGGCTTAATAACTTTCTATCCGTTCCGTTCACAACCCCGTAACTTCCCGGCACCAGCGATACCCGCGGTTGCACCATTATGCAATTACCCCCCTCAAAATCCCAAGACCTTCCTACATAAAAACCAAAGATTAGGTGCGGTGCTCCCATCTCTGCAAGGTAATCAGTCTCTCTCTCTCTCCTCTCTCTCTCTCTCTCTCTTTCTCTCTCTATACAAACCCTAACCCTAAGCCTAATTCAAGAAACCCACTTGTCGATCCAGATCTCAATCTCAATCTCAATCCGTCATTGCCAATTAATGGCGGAGGAATCACCCCTCGGCGAAGCCATCCCTCACCCGCCCGCGCCGCGCTGCCAAACGGTGGCCCGCCCCCGCCTTCTGCCACAAGCCCAGACTACCGCCCGCTACCGCCTCAAAGCCCGCCGAAGCGCCGCCAGATCTCGCCGGCGGCTGCTGCTGCTCCTGTGCTTCTGGATCCACTCTCATCTTCCCTCGCTCCGTGTCCTCTGCGCCTCGCGGCTTGGCAGTCTTACTATCCTACCGCCCTCGCGGCCGAGCTCACCGTCCCCGCTCCGCCTCTCGCAGTTCAACTTCACCAAGTCCGGATCTCTGAACTCGCGGCTAGATCTCTCTGTTACCGCTCGAAATCCTAACAAGAAGGTCGAGTTCGTCTACGATCTGGTGACGGTCGCCGTTTCTTCCAACGGCGTCGACATCGGCGACGGGACTTTCCCGGCGTTCGTCCACGAGGCGAAGAACACTTCGATCTTGAAGACGGTGGTGACGAGCAAAGGAGGGAGCGTCGATTCGACGGCGCTCCCGGATCTGAAGAAGAAGAGCAGCTTACCTTTGGAGATTGATCTCGAAACTAGGGCCGGAGTCAAGTTTGGATCGTTTAAGACGAAGAAAATTGGGATCAAGGTGAGTTGCGATGGGTTCAGTGTGGCCGTTCCTAATAAAAAGGCGGGAACTCCGGCGACCCCCGATGTGAGCTGCAAAGTGAAGCTAAGGATCAAGATCTGGAAATGGACGTTCTAGGTCGATCCAACTTGATTTGAATTTACTGTAAATTTTTACAGATCTGGTGAGGTTTGAATTTGATAGTAGTTTTTGAATTGAATTATTATTGTGTAATTCTTTTTTTTTTAACTTGTACTTGAACCTGAGTGCTATATATATATTTTTTGTTATTTTACATATTGTTGTAACTTTTTTTGTTGAAATCGACGAGTTGAAATTGAAGCAAGAGTCAATTTGGAAATAATGACGCGTTGGGTTCGGCTTGTCTAATGGGTGAACTATGCCATTGGTTTATTGTGGAGGGTTATCTTTTGCTTTAAAGTGCGTGCACGAGGGTGATTGTTCTGCGGCAGTGCAGTGGCAGGGGTTTCTACAAGGAAACTCATGAATGCTTCAAGTTGTTTCCGGCTGTACATTTTTTTTTTGTTGTGGACCATCAGGAAGCCCATGGAATGTAACGCAAATATTATCACACCACTATTTATATCACCGGAGTTGAAATCATCAAATTGTCCCCTTATCAAATGTTTCTATAAAACGACATTAGCTATAGGCCGACGACAGACCATTTTAGGAAAAAAAAGGCTAGCAAGTTATTGAATTTTGAGCTCTCACTTGGCACCGACTTGTCTTGCACAAGCCTCTGTTTCTTGACGATCTATTTTTCTTAAATGAGCTGTTAGTCTATCCTCAGCTTTACGTTTTATGAATCAAATTTGTACTTCGAGATTACATTTAGGACTTCTTATACGTTTCCCTCTAAGTTATTGTTATTTTTAAGTTTCCACTTCAAATAATTGTACGTGTTAATCTACACTCCAATTTATTTTCTTTCCCCTGATTTTATTGTACTTGTTAATTTACAAGTACAATTATCTGAACTTGTAAAATTTACACTCCAATTTATTGTTCTTTCCCCTGATTTTATTCCCTAGCTATAAACTTTGATATTTGATGGACAAGAATATTCTTTTATCCATGCTTATGTAGACATTTGGAGAAAAAAATTTGAAAGAAGAGAGAAAAGTAGAGCATACGGCTTGGTAGCATTGGAGAGCAGGACGGGATGAACGTCATTTGTGGAGCCCTTTGTCGCATCGACAATGCATATCTTTAGGATCCATAATTAGACGAATTTTGGATCCTCTCCACTACAACTACTGCAAAGAAGGAGGGGAAAACTAACTGGAGAGACCACTTAATCCCATATCTTATATATCATAGTGCCCCCTGTGACCCTGTGTATTATACTCATTCCAAATTTGCACTCAAGGAAAAATCGTAACTACTCATTAGTTAATCAGTGCTTGTGACTAAGTAGTGGTCCCTCCACTATTTTATTAGTGGCGGAGAGGATCTTAATCCTAGTTAGACCCCGTTTGGCAAAGGGTTAAGGACCATGGATTAAGGAGAATGATTAACGTAGTTAGCCCATTCGATAACCCGGGAAACTAAATTATTAACCCGTTAAATAAGTTTTATTTTAGCCGTTGTGATCAGTTTTAGTGTTTGAGAATAACAAATTTTTTGACAATTTTCTTTATAAATATAGGAGCTAACTATTAATCCTTTTAAATAGGAATACTACTAACCCCGTCATTTTGAGGTGTTAACTTATTTTAATCCTTCTAGAGGGGTTAACTTAACTCTTATATGTTTTTTGCATTTTGCAAATTATAGAAGGTTAACTCTCTTTAATTCTTGTATAAATTTTTTATGTTTGGCAGGTTAAAAAAGAATTAAGTCTCATTAACCCTTCACTTAACCCGTCGCCAATTGGCATGTTACCGAATTGTATTCTACTGTGGGGGTTATGCGGATCAGTCGTTCCCTAAGTCTAGCCTGGAGAGAAAACCATTGGTGGGGTCTAAGGTCAGCTAGCACCCAAGGATGGAAAACTATATTACGATTGCACAGTGAGGATATTTATATATTTCAACCCTATAGACAAAAATCTTATGTACATATATGCATCTTCTGAGGCCTACTGCTTTTCAATATTAGAAGGGGAAAAAAGAAAAAGAAGACAGAGAGATCGAGGTTAAATTATAGCACAAGAGATTGACCATAATCTTCATTGATTAATAGTGAAATGGAATCGTGATCTGGTTATTACTATGAAAATGTAGGTAATTTTATTTATCATAGAACCTAGTTAAATCTTTTTGTCGCTATTATTGTTTCTCTGGTTTTATTTTTTTTTTCCAATAAAAAAAATTAAAAAGGAAATATTATACATGTGATGATGACAAGCGAGCAACAAGCTGCGCCGCTAATCCTTTCTGAATTGCAAAACCCAACCGACGAAACACGTAGTCAGCTGATCCTGCTGTAGCCACATTCCTATTCATAAATTTTTGTACCCTCCTGAGGAACTCCGCTGCATCAGCTGCAAGATAACCAAACGTATCGAACGCGAACGGGATGAAACTATGGTGATTGTCCTTGCAAGCTTGATCATGTTTGCCCACCTTTGCCTCTGCCGCCCTATCCGCTGCATGCCCAACCGTGAACACACCATTACCAAACCCCACCAACGGAGACACCCCCGTAAGATCAACACAAGCATGCTTCCCTCCGCTCCAACTGTAGACAAGAACGTCTGCCGGCCTTAAAGTAGATCTAGCCTCTCCAAGAGGAGTGAGGAAGTTGACCGGCGCTTCCTTCTTGGATGGGATCCCTGCTCTTCGGAGGATATCATACAAGACATCTCTGACTAAGTCGTGCCTGTACTTGAACCCCGGCTGCTTCTGACAGTGGATGGCATTCTCTCCAAAAGCATTCATCGGCGTCCTACGACAAACTGGGCACATTGTCCCCTCCACGAACAAAGGAACCAACAACCTGTACCTGAGGATGGCCTGGTACTCCCCCGGAGTCATACGCTGCCCCAATCCCTCAATAGGCGTGGCCAACAAGAAATCCTGGGCATGCTTTGCCCGCAGACACCCAACAATCGCAACCTGCCTCTCTGATAGGTCAAACTCCGTCGATAGATCTCTACAAATGCCACCATAAAAGATGTCTGCCAAGTATTGCATTGGTTTTGGGGGGACAGACCCTTTAGTGGTGATTTGAAGAAGGTCAACCTCAGATAGCTTGGCTTGAAGAGAAGCCCGTGCGGAAGAAAAATGCACACCTAAAGAAACATCACCACAACCTCTCAAAATGTGGTCTTGGAGCTCAATGGAGTGAATTCGAGAGGCCACAAAAGAAAATTGTATGGCATCGGCCGCTGCATAGACCCCCAACCCGCCCGCCTTGATAGGTAAAGAGGCTAGCCTCCATTGGAGATCCCCGAAGCCTGGGCCTTCGGATGTGACAATGCTCTCGACAGACCTCCGAAGCGCAATATCGAACTGAGTCGCCGCCTGAGCAAAGAGCTGTGGCGGGCAAGTCCTCAAGGCAAAATACAACTTGGACAAACCCGCACAAGCCCTCAAAAGGACGAGCTCGCACTGAGGATCCCTAAGTTGATAAGGTTTTCTGTTCTGTTGTCAACAATGGGAAGGAGAGGAGGAAGGGGAGAGAGGATCCGGGAGTGAGAAATTTAAACTTTAGGATGCCATATTAAAAATGATGGAGGTTTAGGGTATTAAAATAAATTGTTAATTTTGGATAGAACTCCTATAGTATCGTTATTTTGAACTTCCCAGCCTTCTACTTTTCTTTTTTTTAGATACAGTGCATGTGTGAATTTATTTTGACTCTTTTTATCCTTGAGAATCTATTTGCCAAAAAGGAATTTTCTCTTTCTTTAGGTGTAGAAGAGTCAACAAGATTTTATTCAAAGGGACTAATAGCAATAATGAACTAGAGGGGTAGCAGGTTCAAAATAACGGTAACATAAAGGGCATATGTGTAATTAACCCCAGTATAAAAATAACCAATTATCAATTCCATTAACGTTGTAGTAAATAATGATTTCTTTTGCTAGTAATAATAAGAGCTGGGGCTCTGTGTGAGTCCCATCTTTTCTTATAAAAAAGAAAAGTTGTAGCAAATCACATGGGAAAAGTCAATAATCTACTTGTTCGGGGTTTGAGTTTCATATTTCTTGCACATTGTAAGAATTTTATATTCTACGACAATTGTTGTATATAAATACGAATTTGAGCACATCTAATGAAGCATACAGATGGAACTTCCATCTTTTCACTAGAAAAGATCATTTCGTAAAATCAACTTGAGCTAGCTTTCCTTACTTGGAAATTGGTGGTGGGCATATATTGATCAGTGGTCCGATATTTGTTAAAATTTTATTTTTAATTAGGAAACCCTAATGACATTGAACATCACCTTCATCATTTGAAAGTAACAGTCTCCTCTTGCACACACCGTCAATTATTTGTGAAGTGCTGATTAGGAAGAAGAAGAAAGGGGCAGGGGCGGAGGGAAGGGGCTATAGGGTATTCCTTGGAATACCCTAACATTAGAAAAAATTGCCCATATGGTATAAGGATTGATAAATCTTAGCGGTAGCGTGGGTTCGAATCTTGCAAGGAACTTTTTTATGTTTTAATTTTTACATTTTCTTTTTATTTTTTAACCCAATTTTTACCCAACCTTTTTTACCTGACCATTTTACCATTTCACCTTATCTCACAAAATTACAGCCCTGACCTGAGACCAAATACCAAACACCAAACCCTTCACCTTCAACTTCAAGAATCAGACCAGGCACGTCCGCCTCCTCAGTCCTCACGGCCGGCGCCCAGCCACGTCCGCGCCCGCCTTAAGGAGTTCAGGTCCAGGCTCTTCCCCTTCTTTAATTCATTGTTTGTGAAATTTAATTGAAGTGTTTTTTTGGTGTGACATTGATTGTAGGTGATTTGTTTAGGAATTATGATTGGATTGATAACTGATTTCTATAAGATTGAATTGATTACTTTATAAACTGAATTCGTTTTTTTGTTTGTTTGTGAAACCAATTTAGTTTAGGTAATTGATATGTCAATTTAGTGATATTTCAATTTTAATTCAATGGTTGGTTGTTTCAATTTTAATTCAATGGTTAACTTTTGCAAAATATGTTGCAGACATTGTTTATGCTTGAATTGTTGCAAGCAAATGTTTCTGCTTGAATTGTTGTAAGCGAATAGGATGATGGTGGTATTTAAATGGTAGTTAACTCTTGCTGGCTGTACAAGGGTTCTGATCAAGTTATTCATTTAGCATAATGCTACAATGTTAAAACGAGTCCATCAATTGTTTAAATGTTTCTGCTTGAATTTTTTAGAGTGATTTTAAATTAATAAGTCATTGTATTT